TACGGGGATAGATGACTAGAGGGTTTACTTACTGAGCATTATTTGTGCTCACCCCGTTGTCTTTCTATGTTTTTGCAGGATTTAGGTAAGGACACGGTCGGATGGATGTCGGCACGCGAGGATGAATGGCTACACTGTCTACATAGTTTTTGATAGTTTTTGTTTATGATACTAATTTTGTATAAAGAATGTATATGTTTAATAAAAGAAAATTTTGGGCCCAACTACTTATGTTATTATACATGTATTTTATTATGTATTTTTTTATGAGTATTTGAGTAGGAAGTAGTTATTACATAGCTACCTGTCAAAGATATGATTACTGTACAATTCGATCCTTTCATCATTCGTTATCTCGACGAGACGAAGGCATAGAAATAGTGTCAACCTTCGCTTACTATCGATATTATGTATTCAGTTTCTAGACCAACGACCTATATTATAATCCAAATAGAGCAACAACTCAATCCCACTATGGCCACAGTTTTAGTGTCATTGCCATATACTGAATTGCATCGTGAGATAACTTCTCACGTACCCGAGAGTGATGAATCCTCTATCAATCCACCATAGTCTTGATACACTCCTTGATGCAGCCAATCACCACCATATTGACAGCTCTAAACAAAACTATGTTAGGCTAGTGTCAAACTACACCAATCGGTGCACAAGGTGCTCCGGTGATCTCAAGTCTAAGGATCACATGCACCACCATTCGTTAGAGGATTTGTTCCATAGACACTGGGGTTACCATACATATGGAATCCTCTAGTGGGTCAGTCCAGTGAACTTGCTGCGGTATATCCGCCAACAGCAAGTACTCATGTATTGCACCAGGTTGTCACCAAACAACCTTGACAAGTGAGATCAGTCACTGCCTTTCAACAGGGTCGTTTAACACTATGATAGCCTTACCGTATTATCTATGCCCTTACTTTAGAATAATACTAGGGCTACGGACATTTCTAGAGTGGCCACCATATGTGCTAATAGGGTTCTCACTATCAAGATTTGAAACACTTGATACCCTCGTCACGGTTCTACCATTCTAAGGACATATATCAATACATATTGCAATAATAATGATTTACGCGATATAGAATAAAATGCATTTTATTGATTAATAAACATTATTACAAAGAGTCAATTCTACAATAATTGATTGGCTCTAGGGCATCTACTCTAACACCATCCCTTTCATGATTGCCACGACCTGGGCTGGTTCGAAGTTAAGGTTGTACTCTAGAACTTTGCATTGGTCCGATCCAGATGGTCTATTGTCAACTCTAATTGGTTGGCGATTGTATGGTTTTTTGACTTTGTTTAGATTGCGTGGAGGGGGTTGGTAACGGGGCTCAATCAATCTGGACTCCAACCTTCTATCATTCTGCCTTTCATGATTGCCACGACCTGGGCTGGTTCGAAGTTAAGGTTGTACTCTAGAACTTTGCATTGGTTCGATCCAGATGGTCTATTGTCAACTCTAATTGGTTGGCGATTGTATGGTTTTTTGACTTTGTTCAGATTGCGTGGAGGGGGTTGGTAATGGGGCTCAATCAATCTGGACTCTAACCTTCTATCATTCCGCCTTTAGTGATGGTCGTCATACCTAGCATGTCTCATCCTGTTCATCTCATCTTCCTCCCATCTTATTTGAATCACAACTCTGGCCAGGGCATCTTCTATCGTGATGTAGCCGAGCTTCGTCAGGTCTTTGTATAGTTCTCCATCTGGGAGGAGACCCTTTCTGAAGGTGTCTACTGCCGTCTCTAGGTTGCAGAAGGGGATGAAGATTTTTTTCTTTGTTGAATCTGCTAACGTATTCTTTTATTGGCTCCCCCCTCTTCTGGTAGACTCTGTATAAGTTAGCTGATAGCTTCTTGAGTTTTTTGCTGCTAGCGAATTGCTCAACGAAGGTGTTGGTGAGCTGGGCAAATGAGTTGATTGAATTGTTTGGGAGGTTAGTATACCACTGAAGAGCTAGGTCGGAGAGGCTTAAACCGAAGCTCTTACACATGCAGGCTTCCTTCAGTGTTAGGGGTATCGAGACGGCAAACATCTGTTGCTTGTAGGAGGCTATGTGGTTATCTGGGTCGATTGTGCCATCATAGGGCTTCATGCTGGGGATGGTGAATTTGTGTGGCATCTCGGCTAGCGCGATTGCATCCACGAAGGGTGAATCGGCATAGTAGTTAGGTTAACTCTTTTTGGTTGGGATTGACATTCTTGGTATGCACCCCATCACTGTTTCTATGTCGGCCAGTCTCTTGGCCAATATCTGTTCCATGGGAGAGGCGGATACCACTAGGTCGTCCTGATTAACTCGGTTGGCCACATGATTCGCACTTGGTGTGTCTTGTTAGGTCAATCCACGTGGTGTAGCCTGATGGATCATTCCGTCATGTGTTGCTTGGTAGCCTGGATCCCCATTCATTCCCTCCGGTTGGGTGACTCTCATTGTGACTGATCAGGTGTTTCACCCCACATGGATTGTAAAAGGGGTTATTGGGATTCGCTTGGTTCGTTGGGATGGATGGACTTGAGCGGGATGGTTTAAAGGAGTGGGAGACTGCTTGACCAGCTAGGATGAGCTGAGCTGAGCCGAGCCGAATGGGGTTTGGGTAGGGATGGTTGACTGAAGGTGAGACGGGATGGCGAGGATGGGTGGCTCTTGTTGTAGCGGGCTTTCTGTCACTTGGACGCCTTGATCTCGAGCCTGAAGTAGATCGACCGAGCGTGGTTTTATTAGCAGCCCCCATTTACTATGAGTCAACGCTGAATCATTAACTAATGACAAACATAGCTGGCACGACCTCGTATCCGAGATCGTTGGTCTATGCTCTAGAGTTTGGAGAGGTTGCGTAGACAGAACTGAGGCGTGGAACCGATTGGGCTGTACCTGACAAGGCAGAAGCTCAAGATCATAAAACTGACTTACCTTCTCTTTTAGAGACTTGTTTTTGGCCCTGATGGAGGCGTTTTCTGTTTAGATGGCAGTGTCCTCAACTTCCATTGCGGCCACCTTGTTTGAGTGCTGTTGCATGAGGGCGATTAGAGCCTCTGGTTTGGCCTCGAGGCAAGGATTAGTGTTATCAGAATTTTCATCCATAGAGAGTTTCTTTACGTAGCAAGGTTTGTGAGACGAATGATTATTAGAGACCCCACAATGGGCGCCAAACTGTAGATGCAAAAATCTACCTTTACGGAAAGAGGGACTAATTTTGTGAGGTTGAGGCCACTAGCGATCTGTTGCACCTGCACATGCAAGAAAACAAGCGTGAAGCGAACAAAAAACACCAGGGTTGTGTTTCTCGTAGGCACTTCGACGCCCAAGTCAACAAGGCTGAATGAGGCTAGTTTAGTGAGGGTTAGGGAGAGGAAAGGTTATCGGAAGTCTAGTCAGAGACTATGACTGCGGCTGCAATGCGAAGTTCTCAAGAGTGGGAACTCCAGGGTCTAGAGGTGTAATGTTTCTATCCTTTGTGAGAGGGCTGATCTCTATTTAAATAGTGACTGCAGGATCTTCGAATCCTAGTGGGACTAAGAGTCCTTTCAGCGGTGGTTTTCTGAAAGAGTGGAGCCTTCAGCTTCCTTATCTCAATAGGAAAGGGAGTCCCAACATGCCTAGGATACAGACCTTAAATGAATCAAGATCGTGATTGACTTCTTTAGTAGAGTTCAAGTAGTACTATAATTCGTAGGCAACCGTGGGCTCCAAGTTGATCGTAAGTCCAGAATATGTTATAGGATCAGAAGGCCTGTGTCCAAATGGTGAGAAACTCGGAAAACATACCGAACGGGCCTCATATGTAGAACTCTATTATGGGCCCAATCGGAATTGGGCCTGAGCTTTCGGCTTTGTTAAAGGTGTCTTCGTTTCTGGTCCTATTTAGGCCGAGGACATTTTTTTGGCCCTAACGGTATCTAAAATCGTTAAACATGTGAAGGTTTTAATAATCCAATATGTGTGTGTGTGTGTGTGTGTGTGTGTGTGTGTGTGTGAATGTAGATATAATTTTCTGATAAAAAATTAATGAATAATCATATCTAATTTATTAATTAAATACAAAAGATCTAATTTAAAGTTTTTGCCTTCGGCTTCAAATGTAATTCAGCAGCATAAGTATATAATTATGTAAGGGAAAGGATTGATGCCTGAGAATACATTTTTAATTTATATATGAAAGGGAAAATTAAGATTGAGTGGGATGGTTATTTTTTTAAAGTGTGTGAGTGCTTGCATCATTCATGACTCAATGCTGCCCTAAGCAAGCACCCATAAAAAATATTGTTCCTTAGCAATGTGACACAAGACAACTACCATTACCAAATACCAACAAAACACAAAAAGCTAAAAAGGCTATAAGGAGGAATGCTCACATGCCCAGCAATCTTAAAGTGCTTTTTGGGCTCCACCTCATTTCACATTAAGCCTTATAATCTCTGCACGTGAGAACCTCCGCAAAAAGAGAAGAAAAACATCACCTCTACCGGTGCATACCCTTTCCATGTTACCCATATCATCCTTTCCATGTAACCCATATCATCCATTGACTCTGCATATTTCTTCCATTTTGATAAAAATTAAATATATAGGGCATATTTGACACACGATATAGTATATATAACATTAGATAATTACGTAGTACAATATAAAAACTTTATGATGCAATGTTCTACCAGACATCATATAACATCTTGTATAATATTATGTAATACAATGCTATACTATATAATTTATTTAATGTTATCCAATGTAACATGCCGATGCAAACATACTCAGTGTTTTAGATTCATGTAATGTAATCTTTATCACCCAAACTTGTGATCGGGCTTTGTTGTTATTTGGCCCACTGTTATACAGGTCAATATTTGGCAACTTAAGCAGGGAAATTCCACGTTTCTCATTGTAATAATAGAAGGAAAATTTATAATAAATATAACGTCCAAGGTGCACAGCTATAGAGAATTTTGGTACCGCAATATGTTCTTTTGTTTTTTTTTTTTTTTTTTTTTGTTGGAACATACATCATATCACTCATTGGAACGATGCGATTGTGCATTTAGATAAATCCTTTGTCTTGGACCATTAAGATCTCAATTGATTGGAGCTAATTTGGCAAACTAATTTCATCAAGATCATCTAACGATAAGAATACTTCATCCAAGCATGAGAGTTCTGTTCCAGCTTCATCGTCATCACAATTCCTTTCATAAACTCGACAGATGACCCATTTACTGAAATCCTGAAAAATATTCATACAGAACCACTTATATTATTCAATTTTTCATCATATATCAAAATTAAGAACTAATATATATATACATATATATATATATATATATATATATACATGCAGATATATCTTTAGACGTAGCACTTACTGTTTTTAAATGTCCTCTTCTTTTAGAAGACGACCTACTATTACTACTACCAGTATTAGAAGCAGCAGAATCAGAGAGACCGTATTCCTGCAATATCCAGTTAGTTTTAACACCGGATGGAGGTTCTCCAAGATGGAATACAAAATATTTCTTCATTCCAATTTTCCTGTTAGCTCTTGTAATTACTGCTTCTTCAATGCCTGTTGCCTTCCAAAATCCATTACTTGTGATCCGGTTTTGAGTCTTTCGACTATAGAAATACCATTGGTTTCCCTCAGCTAAAGCTTTTCCTGCATGCCTATGTAATTAATATACATATATTTATAAAAACGAACAAATTAAATAGAAAATAAATAATGAATTGTATATACCATTAAGTTGCCATGGATCATAAGGATAGAGATCAAGGTCGGGAATGACATCAGGATGACAAGCTGAGAGAGCTGCCTTACGTTGAAGGAAATGGACAAGAAGCTCTTCATCAGTTGGATAAAAACGGAACCCAGGTGGTAGATTAACATTAACATTAATGTTATCTCCCATGTTTCAAGAAAAAAAAAATAAAAATAAAAAGAAGAAAGAATAGTGATAAGGAAGAGTTTGGATGTGATGATATATTTATAGTATAATAAAAGTGGAGAGAGAATGAACGTGACGTGAAAATGAAGGTGGATTTGATCACATTAAATTAAATTAGTGCTCTCAACTCAACTCAACTCCAAGGCGGCGGTTAACGGAACGTTTAGATACTTCCAACTAACGGTATCTGTTACTATTGGAGGGAACTTGGTTTATTTTATGAGTAATACTAGGTTTACACCATCTTCTCATATCATGAAAAACTGATCTCTATTAAATGTGACGCAGGTCTTCGAATCCTAGTGGGACTAAGAGTCCTTTCAGCGGTGGTTTTCTGAAAGAGTGGAGCCTTCAGCTTCCTTATCTCAATAGGAAAGGGAGTCCCAACATGCCTAGGATACAGACCTTAAATGAATCAAGATCGTGATTGACTTCTTTAGTAGAGTTCAAGTAGTACTATAATTCGTAGGCAACCGTGGGCTCCAAGTTGATCGTAGGGTTCTCACTATCAAGATTTGAAACACTTGATACCCTCGTCACGGTTCTACCATTCTAAGGACATATATCAATACATATTGCAATAATAATGATTTACGCGATATAGAATAAAATGCATTTTATTGATTAATAAACATTATTACAAAGAGTCAATTCTACAATAATTGATTGGCTCTAGGGCATCTACTCTAACACCATCCCTTTCATGATTGCCACGACCTGGGCTGGTTCGAAGTTAAGGTTGTACTCTAGAACTTTGCATTGGTCCGATCCAGATGGTCTATTGTCAACTCTAATTGGTTGGCGATTGTATGGTTTTTTGACTTTGTTTAGATTGCGTGGAGGGGGTTGGTAACGGGGCTCAATCAATCTGGACTCCAACCTTCTATCATTCTGCCTTTCATGATTGCCACGACCTGGGCTGGTTCGAAGTTAAGGTTGTACTCTAGAACTTTGCATTGGTTCGATCCAGATGGTCTATTGTCAACTCTAATTGGTTGGCGATTGTATGGTTTTTTGACTTTGTTCAGATTGCGTGGAGGGGGTTGGTAATGGGGCTCAATCAATCTGGACTCTAACCTTCTATCATTCCGCCTTTAGTGATGGTCGTCATACCTAGCATGTCTCATCCTGTTCATCTCATCTTCCTCCCATCTTATTTGAATCACAACTCTGGCCAGGGCATCTTCTATCGTGATGTAGCCGAGCTTCGTCAGGTCTTTGTATAGTTCTCCATCTGGGAGGAGACCCTTTCTGAAGGTGTCTACTGCCGTCTCTAGGTTGCAGAAGGGGATGAAGATTTTTTTCTTTGTTGAATCTGCTAACGTATTCTTTTATTGGCTCCCCCCTCTTCTGGTAGACTCTGTATAAGTTAGCTGATAGCTTCTTGAGTTTTTTGCTGCTAGCGAATTGCTCAACGAAGGTGTTGGTGAGCTGGGCAAATGAGTTGATTGAATTGTTTGGGAGGTTAGTATACCACTGAAGAGCTAGGTCGGAGAGGCTTAAACCGAAGCTCTTACACATGCAGGCTTCCTTCAGTGTTAGGGGTATCGAGACGGCAAACATCTGTTGCTTGTAGGAGGCTATGTGGTTATCTGGGTCGATTGTGCCATCATAGGGCTTCATGCTGGGGATGGTGAATTTGTGTGGCATCTCGGCTAGCGCGATTGCATCCACGAAGGGTGAATCGGCATAGTAGTTAGGTTAACTCTTTTTGGTTGGGATTGACATTCTTGGTATGCACCCCATCACTGTTTCTATGTCGGCCAGTCTCTTGGCCAATATCTGTTCCATGGGAGAGGCGGATACCACTAGGTCGTCCTGATTAACTCGGTTGGCCACATGATTCGCACTTGGTGTGTCTTGTTAGGTCAATCCACGTGGTGTAGCCTGATGGATCATTCCGTCATGTGTTGCTTGGTAGCCTGGATCCCCATTCATTCCCTCCGGTTGGGTGACTCTCATTGTGACTGATCAGGTGTTTCACCCCACATGGATTGTAAAAGGGGTTATTGGGATTCGCTTGGTTCGTTGGGATGGATGGACTTGAGCGGGATGGTTTAAAGGAGTGGGAGACTGCTTGACCAGCTAGGATGAGCTGAGCTGAGCCGAGCCGAATGGGGTTTGGGTAGGGATGGTTGACTGAAGGTGAGACGGGATGGCGAGGATGGGTGGCTCTTGTTGTAGCGGGCTTTCTGTCACTTGGACGCCTTGATCTCGAGCCTGAAGTAGATCGACCGAGCGTGGTTTTATTAGCAGCCCCCATTTACTATGAGTCAACGCTGAATCATTAACTAATGACAAACATAGCTGGCACGACCTCGTATCCGAGATCGTTGGTCTATGCTCTAGAGTTTGGAGAGGTTGCGTAGACAGAACTGAGGCGTGGAACCGATTGGGCTGTACCTGACAAGGCAGAAGCTCAAGATCATAAAACTGACTTACCTTCTCTTTTAGAGACTTGTTTTTGGCCCTGATGGAGGCGTTTTCTGTTTAGATGGCAGTGTCCTCAACTTCCATTGCGGCCACCTTGTTTGAGTGCTGTTGCATGAGGGCGATTAGAGCCTCTGGTTTGGCCTCGAGGCAAGGATTAGTGTTATCAGAATTTTCATCCATAGAGAGTTTCTTTACGTAGCAAGGTTTGTGAGACGAATGATTATTAGAGACCCCACAATGGGCGCCAAACTGTAGATGCAAAAATCTACCTTTACGGAAAGAGGGACTAATTTTGTGAGGTTGAGGCCACTAGCGATCTGTTGCACCTGCACATGCAAGAAAACAAGCGTGAAGCGAACAAAAAACACCAGGGTTGTGTTTCTCGTAGGCACTTCGACGCCCAAGTCAACAAGGCTGAATGAGGCTAGTTTAGTGAGGGTTAGGGAGAGGAAAGGTTATCGGAAGTCTAGTCAGAGACTATGACTGCGGCTGCAATGCGAAGTTCTCAAGAGTGGGAACTCCAGGGTCTAGAGGTGTAATGTTTCTATCCTTTGTGAGAGGGCTGATCTCTATTTAAATAGTGACTGCAGGATCTTCGAATCCTAGTGGGACTAAGAGTCCTTTCAGCGGTGGTTTTCTGAAAGAGTGGAGCCTTCAGCTTCCTTATCTCAATAGGAAAGGGAGTCCCAACATGCCTAGGATACAGACCTTAAATGAATCAAGATCGTGATTGACTTCTTTAGTAGAGTTCAAGTAGTACTATAATTCGTAGGCAACCGTGGGCTCCAAGTTGATCGTAAGTCCAGAATATGTTATAGGATCAGAAGGCCTGTGTCCAAATGGTGAGAAACTCGGAAAACATACCGAACGGGCCTCATATGTAGAACTCTATTATGGGCCCAATCGGAATTGGGCCTGAGCTTTCGGCTTTGTTAAAGGTGTCTTCGTTTCTGGTCCTATTTAGGCCGAGGACATTTTTTTGGCCCTAACGGTATCTAAAATCGTTAAACATGTGAAGGTTTTAATAATCCAATATGTGTGTGTGTGTGTGTGTGTGTGTGTGTGTGTGTGTGAATGTAGATATAATTTTCTGATAAAAAATTAATGAATAATCATATCTAATTTATTAATTAAATACAAAAGATCTAATTTAAAGTTTTTGCCTTCGGCTTCAAATGTAATTCAGCAGCATAAGTATATAATTATGTAAGGGAAAGGATTGATGCCTGAGAATACATTTTTAATTTATATATGAAAGGGAAAATTAAGATTGAGTGGGATGGTTATTTTTTTAAAGTGTGTGAGTGCTTGCATCATTCATGACTCAATGCTGCCCTAAGCAAGCACCCATAAAAAATATTGTTCCTTAGCAATGTGACACAAGACAACTACCATTACCAAATACCAACAAAACACAAAAAGCTAAAAAGGCTATAAGGAGGAATGCTCACATGCCCAGCAATCTTAAAGTGCTTTTTGGGCTCCACCTCATTTCACATTAAGCCTTATAATCTCTGCACGTGAGAACCTCCGCAAAAAGAGAAGAAAAACATCACCTCTACCGGTGCATACCCTTTCCATGTTACCCATATCATCCTTTCCATGTAACCCATATCATCCATTGACTCTGCATATTTCTTCCATTTTGATAAAAATTAAATATATAGGGCATATTTGACACACGATATAGTATATATAACATTAGATAATTACGTAGTACAATATAAAAACTTTATGATGCAATGTTCTACCAGACATCATATAACATCTTGTATAATATTATGTAATACAATGCTATACTATATAATTTATTTAATGTTATCCAATGTAACATGCCGATGCAAACATACTCAGTGTTTTAGATTCATGTAATGTAATCTTTATCACCCAAACTTGTGATCGGGCTTTGTTGTTATTTGGCCCACTGTTATACAGGTCAATATTTGGCAACTTAAGCAGGGAAATTCCACGTTTCTCATTGTAATAATAGAAGGAAAATTTATAATAAATATAACGTCCAAGGTGCACAGCTATAGAGAATTTTGGTACCGCAATATGTTCTTTTGTTTTTTTTTTTTTTTTTTTTTGTTGGAACATACATCATATCACTCATTGGAACGATGCGATTGTGCATTTAGATAAATCCTTTGTCTTGGACCATTAAGATCTCAATTGATTGGAGCTAATTTGGCAAACTAATTTCATCAAGATCATCTAACGATAAGAATACTTCATCCAAGCATGAGAGTTCTGTTCCAGCTTCATCGTCATCACAATTCCTTTCATAAACTCGACAGATGACCCATTTACTGAAATCCTGAAAAATATTCATACAGAACCACTTATATTATTCAATTTTTCATCATATATCAAAATTAAGAACTAATATATATATACATATATATATATATATATATATATATACATGCAGATATATCTTTAGACGTAGCACTTACTGTTTTTAAATGTCCTCTTCTTTTAGAAGACGACCTACTATTACTACTACCAGTATTAGAAGCAGCAGAATCAGAGAGACCGTATTCCTGCAATATCCAGT